GCTGCTACTACTACTGCTACTACTACTGCTACTGCTGATACTGCTACTATTACTACTACTACTACTACTACTACTACTACTACTACTACTACTACTAGTACTAGTACTAGTACTAGTACTACTGCTACTACTACTACTACTACTACTACTGCTACTGCTACTACGATTTCTATTACTACTGTACTACTACTGCTACTACTACTACTACTACTACGACTGCTACTACTACTACTGCTACTGCTACTGCTACTTCTGCTGCCACTACTCCCACTGCAACTACTATTTCTACTGCTACTGCCACTACTACTACTATTATTATTAGTCCTGCTCCTGTTCCTGCTACTGCTGCTGCGACGGCGACCACGACGAGCAACCACCATCGCCCACTGAGTGGGCGGGCTGAAAAAACATAATCATGGAGCGGAAGCTAAGACAGGGAAGCGGCGTGGGCACCCATCGCAGCAACATTACCACCAGGGCCGGTTTAAGAAATGCGACCAAACGCCGTCACCCATTGAAGGAGCGGGTTTGAAAACTACTGCAAATCAACGGCCATCGCCTTGTGCTTAAGAAATCTGATCTAATGCATGTTGCAATGTGGGGGCAGGTTTAAAAACTTTGATCAACTGCCATCGTACGGTGGGGTGGACGGATCAAACCCCACCGAGGAGGTGGATTTAAGAAATGCGATCAACCGCCATCGCCTCATGAGAGACGGGTTGACCACCGTACAGCTGGCTCGAAGAGCAGCAGCAGGAGGAGGAGGAGCAACAGCAGGAGGAAGGGTAGTCGTGCTGGTGCTCGTGGTCGTGGTCGTGGTCGTAGGAGTGGTCGTGGTCGTGGTCTTCGCCGTGGTGGTGGTCGTGGTAAAGCAGTAGTACCACATCAATAAGCGAGGCCTTTGTCAAAAATGCCACCCAGAAACTCTCCTGGAGTGTCAGCTGAGAGCCTTGGGTGTGCATGTGTGTGTGTGTGTGCGCTTACACGTCATGCATCATTGACTTGCCTTCTCTCAGTGAGGTATTTTGCGATCGCTGGTGTCCAGCGCCTCCTTCGGCAGATGGGCGAAGACATTGGACCAACGGCTTCATCGTGGGTCCAGGCCCGGAGCTTGAGCTGAAGCCACACCGCCCATTTTTTTCGGGACATTGGAAAGCATGGGGCATGCGGGCATGGGGGAATGCAGGGGCCCACCTGACCATGTCGTGATCACAAGAAGGATGGACCAAGAAGGCAACAGGAGCTGCAGTAGGCATCCAGATCTCAGTTGAGCGTAAGAGCGAACGAAAGGCTTCTGTCCGGTCGAGCAACAAACGGAAGTGTTTGGAAAAAGAGACGCGAGGATAACATGTGGAATCAATCTCGATGACCGTCGAGATCCTTTTGCATGCTTCGTTTCATATAGTTATTGGGCAGTTGGTGAAGTTGGGGCTGCAGGAAGGCGTGCCTCCTGTTCACAACGGGCTGGCCGCACATTCGGGAAGTGTAGAAGGATAAGCACAGGGCCGTCGCGAGGACAGGCTGATCTCAGATCACTGGGTCGAAGGAGTGGGACGGGGAAGTGCACTTGCGCAGGAAGCACAGGTCGTTGTAGGGAAGTGTGGCATGTCGAGAGGTCGAACCGAACATGCTGTCTCGACAGGCAGCACTGGACATGTGGGAAGGACAGAAAGGTCGCCGATTGAGTACATCTGTGGCGACGGAAAGGTGCGGTCCTCACGAGCAACCATTTGGAGTAGTGGAGAGTCACACAGTCATCTCGTCTCTCAATGGAGAAGCTGTTTCTGCAATCTTGTTCCAGGATTGCTGTTCCAGCTTATGAGCCGGGGCCCCTGACTTGCAGATGCCGTGGCAGCCGAAGTCGAAGCCGCACGAAATCGGGTTCAAGCTTCGGGGAAGCGTCCTCGCCGAGCCGAGGTTTGAGCTCGAGTTTCAGACGTACTGCGCGCAGGCCGGTGCATCGGAGGCATGGACCACGGATATTTTGACGCGTGAGAAAGTCAATGTCATGGAGAGCTGCACGGAGCTCCTTGTCTCAGAGGATGCCTCAGCTTCAAGTAGTTCGCAGAGCTAGAGTCATCGAGTGCCATCCCAGGCTGTCAATCAAATTCTTTGGTTCGCTGAAAACTCGATTGGTGCTTCTTCCCGACAAGGTCGGGCAATGCTGAGACCCGGACAGTCATGAATCCATGTGTCATCCACTCTAGGACAAGTCAAGCGTTCTGCAACGAGCGACTCAGTCCACGAGCGACCGAAAAAATGCTATGACGCTGTGCATCCCTTGACTCACGCCGAAAGGCCAAGATTCTGTGGAAGAAGCTCACGAAGGTGTACAAGACATTTGCGGCAGATTTGCTGCACCTGGAGTCGCCGGGCTTGGAAACATGGCAACACTTTTTTTTGCAACATCTTCGGCCGACTTGTCTGTTTAAAGATGCAAACTCCTTCAAGTGCCTGACGCAATCGTTCGTTTGCGAGGCGTTTCTGCGGTCGGACCGTCGTTATCGGTGATGGCGGAACGGGCAAATCTGTCTTGACGAAGCAGCTCCTAGCTGAAATAGCCCAGATGGAAGCAACTGTGCTGCAAAATGGTCTGGGGAGTTTGGAGTCTACATGTGACTGCATGCTGTTGACGGCATCTGACAGAGATAATTTTGAAGCCTGATCCCGAACAGCACAAGCCTGGCCTGAGGGTCCCTCGCGGACCCCTACGCCCGGCAGAAAGAAAAGAAAGAGAGAGGGCGAGAGAGCGAACGAGAGAGAGCGAAAGAGGGACGGATTGCTCCCCTTGGATAGCAGTGCTGAGCGCCCGTCCTTTCCCACAACCTGGTTTCATGACGACACCTGACTCGGACAGAGAAGCATAGTGTTCGCTCGCAGGGTGAGGGAATGTTAGTCGAGTCGGAAACATGAGTCCGGAAGAGACAGGGTCCCAGTCCGGAATGAATGGGGGCCCGAGTCCTGGGCAGACACGGCTTAGGGTTTAGGGTTGTTCTGTTCCTGATTGTCCCGCCGATGCTCCCGACTCTGCCCCAGCTGTTCCTTTCTCTTGCAGCTGACTCGCCTCCCATCCCAGGGTGAGGGGTCCGGGTGCCCCAAGCCCAAACGCCCAGCAAGCAAGCAAGAGAGAGATTAGGACCACGCAACCGCAAGAACAGGCCATGCCAGACGATGACGGCCTCCTGTCTCCTCCATCCATCGTCTGCGTGTCTGCTGCGAGATGGCCGCAACCCTCCCTATTGGCCTGTTGCCACTGCTGCAACCACCAGGCGCCCTTGCTCGTCCCCGTCGTGAGGAACTCCATGGCAGCTCGTACATCTCGTGGAATCGGCGCTATCTGTGCCTCCAAGTCCCCCCTCCACGTTCTCCCGCAAAGAGGAGGGGCTGGTCCTCGTCGGGATTTCCTCGTGCCCTGTCTTGGCTGTCCACGACCTGGATTGGTTCAGTCGCGAAACTGGGCACTCCAGGTCTCCGGTCCATGAGAGCCCTTACCACGAGCTGGTTTTTTGTTTCGGAGATGGAAACCGGGTAGGCCCCCAAGTTCCTGACACATGTTGCAGATGCTTGTGAAATTCCTGTTTTCGTTCGTGTGCAAACTGTTCTTGTATGCTTCTAAAGCAGGCGGTTGTTCACTGCATGGGACAGCAAATTAGTGCTTGATAAGAGCCTACAAGTGTTCAACAGCCAACAACAATCCAGCAGCAAAGAAAACAACGAAGAATCAAACAAAGACCCACCCACCCACCCACCCACCC